TGCAACAAGACAAAAAAAGAGTCAGATATGGACTATAAAATTTGGACCAAGTGGGTCCAAATTTGAGAATACATAAGAATAAATTATAACGTACGCTTAAGGGCAAAGGCACAAGTTGATATTATTATTATTTATTATAAAATTAATTAATGCACAATTAATGCATGACTTACCAGTTGAAACACCACAACTGAGCAAGGTCATCTTCTTGAGAGGAGCCTCAGGATCAATCTTGACAACACAAGCAGATTCAAGGACTGTGTACTCACTGAAAGTTGATGTGTTGAGAAAATGGTAAATGGGTTTTCCATCTTTGGTTGAAAACCTACTTTTCCCATCGTTGTTCATCACCTTCTTAAATGGGTTCACCCCAAAGTTGTGGCAAATATTGGTTTTCTCAGACTTGCAACATTTGCAGTCTCCACACTCTCCATTGAAGATTGGAACCACATGGTCCCCTTCTTTCATGTCCTTGACACCTTCACCCACACTCTCAACAATTCTATCAACAACCGAAACAAGATTTTAGGGTCGAATCTTAAAACGGTAAATGTTTGATTGATATTTTGTTGATATTTTGTCGATAACCTCAATGTATCAGGTACTGTAGATTGGTGTCAAATATGACTTACCCAGAAGCTTCATGGCCTAGAATTCGAGGAAAGGCTCGTTGAGCTTCATTCTATAACAAGTAACAAGAAAAGTTTCGAGAATAAGATGACAAAAGATAGGCTGAAAATTTTCCAATAGAAATATATTCAGGGGCATAGATATACATACCTCTCCTTGCCAAGCACTAAGATCAGTATGACAGATTGAGGTGAAGAGGATCTTGATTCGGACCTCCAATTTCTGTGGTGGGTCGACTTGAACTTGTTCCATCACAAAAGGTTGCCCTGGCCCCCATACAACAGCAGCTTCACAAATCACCACCGTCCATCAACCAACATATGTAAGTTAGTGTTTGATCAAGTAAATATACAAACAATGAGAAAAAAAATATTTCATGTAAACACTACTGAACCTCATATACCTTTGCAAGTGATGACCTTTCCGGTTGTTCTTTGATCACTTGGTTTGGACCAACCATTGGCAGAATTTTGGTGATTGGCCATCTTTTTGTCTTAGTTTTAGCAAATGTGCACAAGTAAAAGCTTGCTGTGATGCAAGTATTCTAAGTTCTTATATATATATATAGTTAGAGCTATCTGGATTTTCCCTTATAAAGACAGAAAGAAGCAAGAGAAAGCAATCTCAAGATTTGGAAAAGTAGATTTCAAATATGGGGACATCAAAGTTGGATGTCATTATATATATGAATCAGGAATGACATATATGTAAATAGGAGAGGATATGGTCTACTAATCTGCCATTGACTTTGTATTAAGTGTAAGGAAAAAGAAAAAGAAAAAGAAATATCAGAACGTACATATACAAATAGATAACATATACTAATACTTTATTATGGACTTGACTTGCAGGTAAGAGATTTCAAATTCGAACTTCCATGACACCTTAGTTGTATATACGTGTGAGAAATTTATTTTCTCTGTAATTTAAACTATGGCTTGTAACAAAAAAAAAACCTTTACTATGGACTTGCTCTCTGGAGATGGCTTGCTAGCTGGGATTACTACTGACTCGGTAAGCGCAGAGGGCACCCAATGAACACTTTGGCTGTCTAATTTAACATGATATTGACATTGACTGAGAAAAATCTATAAACTAAACAAAATATATTTCTTGATAAATATTGTGAAAGCTTCAGTTTGTAAAGATTTGTCCATATTTCAATTAGTCAGCGGAACGTTTGCGTGCTTGAGATGCACAAAATGCCAAAGGACGGCAAATCAAAACGATTCATTCATTAGAGACGTAATTTTAAAAGATAAAAAATGATTTTACATGCATTTCAAGCCTTGCTCCACAATATATAAAATTAATTATGTGCTTATATGTATTGCCATTTGGGTAAGATGTTCAAACCTCAATATATAACCAGTGGGTAAGATATTTTTAATTATTCTACCGTATGGGAAGGGAAATTGAACTAGAATATATTAACTGTCTGACCTAAGTCACATTTGCGTAATGTCATTAATTATTAAGAGAGGTTTTTGAATTCGTTTAATATGTTTAATTTCAAAGTCGACAAAAGAAATTGAAGTCGAATAATGACTACCTATATTATAGAAGGAGGTTAGAAAGAGGCGTATTTAGGGAAATAGACGATGAATGAAATTAATTAAAACCCATGGTAGCCTTGAACTACCTCTATTATTGGTATTGGTTTCTAGACATGTCTACAGTTTTAATATGCGCACTAATTTTGTAAGCATGTTCTGTGGCCCTTGATCCTCAATCCGATCATGCATGTGTGGCCACCACCTGCCGCATTGCTCTCTGATCAAAACAGCAAATTGTGTAAAAATTTGTAGTTCTAGTGGTTAAGAAATCCCGAAAGAGAAGATGAGAGTTCAAAAGCTCTGATCTAATCAATGGTCCACCAAGATGGACTTGACGTTCACAACAAACAAAAATGTCATAGTTTTAGGTACGTTCTGGTTTATAGCGGGGATGCAACAGTTTGAAGTGCAAGCCGAACCAGCGCTTGGAATGTTAGGGAAATAAAAACAAAGCAACCGACACATGGGCACATGAAAATATCCACAAGAGAAGATAATGTATTAAACAGAAGCTCTCTATATATCTATATATATAGCAGGCATAAGACGGCAGGTTTGACACACAAAAAAAGGTGGCAGGTTGTGGCCATTGTATCACAACGCGGCAAAATGAAAACGTGTTATAGTTTCTTCTCATAGCTAGTGGCCATTGAATCTTTTCGTGGCAAATTGGCAGTGGAAATTTGTTTACTTTGGCAAATGGATCAAATTGGTAATTACCAATATAGTACAAATTTTTAGTTAGGTTTTGTGACTTGAACAAGAAAAAGAAAAGAAAAAAGAATGCCTATAGATACTGTTCTTGTAGCGTTGTAATTTGGTCACCCTTTGGCCCCGTTTGGTTCACGGAATGAATTTGATGGGAAATCATTTCCCATGTCATTTCCCAAGGGATGGAAAATGGTGAAATGGTGATTCATTTCCCATGTTTGGTAATGTCGGGAAAGTGACCCGGAAATATCACTTTATTTCCTTTTCCATGTTTGTTTTGAGTAGGAATGGAAAACAAATTTTGTTTAGTTTCCCAATTGTACCCCTATTAAAATAATATAAAAAAAATACCAATAATTGTTGGATAAAAACTGTAATTATGAATTGTTAGTAAGGACAAATTAGTCAGAAAAAAAGTTAGTCTTGCTTTCCCATGGGAAAGGAAAGTGAAACCCAAGTAGGAAGGAAGGATTCATTTTTCCTCCTACTTTCCCATGTGCTAGGCAACGCTTTCCCATGCCTGACTTACCAAACATGGGAAAGCAATTGATTTCCTATCCCCAAAATTCCTTTCCTATGAACCAAACGCAGCCTTTGATCCTTCTAGTACTTTATAATATAAAAAAAATACCAATAATTGTTGGATAAAAACTGTAATTATGAATTGTTAGTAAGGACAAATTAGTCAGAAAAAAAGTTAGTCTTACTTTCCCATGGGAAAGGAAAGTGAAACCCAAGTAGGAAGGAAGGATTCTTTTTTTGGGATAAGATAATACATTCCCCCCAAGACTCAAATCAAATGTGTATGCTGATTCTTTTCATTCACAAAAGTAAAAAAAATCACAAACTAGCTTTCAGGTTTAGTGATATTTCTTTTTCCAATATCGGAAGAGGTAGTGATTTTGAATCTTCAACTTACGTTAATAACAAAAAAAAGTAGAAGAACCATATCATTACTTATATGTTCGCAATTTTGAACTCTCTCGAACTACTTGTCAAATTTAATTTAATTTCTCAATCCACCATGGACATTAATTTCTGCACTGCACCCTTTTGTAACAGAAAGGTAGTAGTTGTCCACTCACAATTTGTAACAAACACACCTTTCATCTACTAAACGTATGTGTATAGTTCACTTGTTCCTTTAAAACTTCCCACCACCTTCCCAAAATCCAAAATGTCTTTTTCCCTCTTCTTCCTTTATTAATTTGCATCCCATTCATTCGATTCCTTGAACACCCACCACATGGGCAATTGCTTACCACTTTGTAGACACAAAAACAAGTCTCAAGCACCTAGGGTTGTGACCAAGAATGAGAGTTCCTTGCACATTGTGAAGAACCAGGACAAGATTTTAGAGCACACAAGGCCTATGATTCTTGAGGATATATCAAAGGACATGGATGGTGCAAGTTGTGGAAAGATAGTTAAATTGATTATAACAAAGCAAGAGCTTCAAGAATTGGTGTCTAAGAAGATATCAGTGAATGAAATGCTCTTGAGAATTCAGAGAGAGGCAGGGATCAATGGTGGCAACAACTGTGGAAAAAGGTGGAAACCAATGCTTGAAACCATCCTTGAATGAAGTGAGGAAAAATCTAATGCTTTACTTTTGGTATTCTTGAAAAAAATTTGAAAGGAAATTTGATGCTGCAAAAATAATCACATAAACTTTTTATAACATTATTGTTTTATTCCATAGATGGAAAGGCAAATTCAAGTGCAGACCAATTTGTCTGCCTGGATTTCCGTAGTTTCCCACTTGTCTTTGTTACCTTTTTTTTTCCCTGTCTTCTTGAGGTTACTAGGGAACAAAAAGAATGGTTGGTGGTGACCCTTATTTTTAAAGGCACATCGCATAAGACTGGTCAAATTACCACTTTACTTTAAACAACGAGTGAATGATGAAGATCCTAGCCATAGTAGGGTTCTTTAATTTCTTTCCCATAAGGCTTGTGTTAAATTTTGATAAAGAGAAAGTGAAAAAAAGATGGCTATTGGGTCCATTGACCAGAAATCAAGAATGCTTCATAGATGGCCCCAAAGTACCAACTATTTCTAACCATTTCCTACATGGACCACTTCACTATACCATATATTATGAACAAAAATATTCTCCTTTTTCTGTAAATATGAACTCCAATATTTCTATCAATCAGTATGACATGTATTTCTCTTTGTGTTTTTAATAAATTATTTTTATAAATACGTCAAACCGTGATTTGCGAGAGAAGAAGAGAGCAGTATTCTATTATAAATTCATGCATGTTATATCACTTTGTGACGAGAATAGTGGGCTTCTGTTGCCACATTACTTTCCTTTTTGTATATCCCTGTGTTTCTTTTATTTTTAATATCCTTTGTTTGGTTTAGGAAAGCCCCCAAGAAGAATCTCACCGACGCATAATACCTCTCTCCCTCCATAACTTCCCCTCTCTTTTATACCCTCCAAACAACCCATAAGCCACAAGCTCCCTATAACAAGAACAAGAAGAAGAAGAAGAAGAAGAAGAAGAAGAAAGTTGGATCAGAAAAAGCAAATTTCAATAAATGGGAAATTGCTTGTTTGGGGGTGTGGGGGAGGCAGAAGGGTTGGTCCAAGTGACAACTTCCAATGGTGGCATAATGGAATTCTATGCGCCAATCACAGTAGGCTCAATCACCAAAGAATTTCCAAACCATGGAATTTTCAGAAGCCATGACCTCTTCTGGAAGCCACTCTCTCCCCATGAAGATCTTCTGGCAAGACAAAACTACTATCTCCTCCCACTCACCAGCCAAAGTGGTCACTTGGGCAGTGCTCAAATTGTGAGGGAAGGCCATGTGAGATCAAACAGCATACCTACTTGCTCCCTTTCTGCACCATACAGAATGTCGCTTGATTATCAAGGCATGATGAAGAGGTCTTACACAGAAGCTTTTTCAAGGTACAACAATGTCAGCTTTTGGAAGGTGAAGCTTGTGATCAGCCCAGAGCAGCTGCTGGAGATTTTGGCTCAGGAGGGAAGAACCCAGGAGTTGATTGAGAGCGTGAGGACTGTGGCTAAGTGTGGGAATGGTGGCTCTGCCTCTGGTTTGGGATTTTCTGACCAGTGGAGTCTCTCAAGTAGTAGTAGAAATGCTTCGTGTAAGAAAGATGGAATATTGCTAGACATTTAGAGGGAAATATATGGAATTACAGGGTTCAATTTTCTGTTTCTGGTTTTGGTTCCAGTGTTGTAAGAATTAGATTGTGCTGCTCATATATAGTCTTATTTCTCTTGTATGCATGGATTATGAAGTTGTTAATGAAGATTTTCACACTTCCTAGCATAGATAAATCTTGATCTTCATAAGTTTTTTTAATACAACCGATAATCTAAACTATAACGAACATGAGTTTTCTCACACACATACACTGTCAAAGATCTTCGAGCATGAGATTGAGATAACTAGTCTGAAAGTCTAGGCCCTCCCTTTTCCAACCCGATTGGCAATCTTGTTCTTCAGACTTTTGTTTATGAAGATTGTTCCTTCAGACTGTGAGGTTAGATGCTTATTGGGCTGGGCTTAATTTCCTTCTTCTAGTTTTCTGACTCGAACCCTACTAGAAGTTGATGATCTTTATATATTTTATTTTATAAAAAGCTTAATTAGTTTGATTCAAGCTTAAGAATAGTTTTATCAGAATTAAGCTTAGGAATTATATGCTAAACTTTAACGTGTTTTGTCTTTCAAGCCCAAATCAACAACCTTCCTTATAAAAACATTGAAGGCGCGACCCAAATTAATATGGGCTTTAATTTTATGACTGCCTCAAATTTAGGAACAATTGACAAAGTCCATAGTTAGAACCATTCAGCCCGTGAAATGTTTTTGTAGAAAATAAACATTAAATACTGACCCAATTGAGAAAATGGGTTTAGCGGGAGAAATTCCATTTCAACTCGATTCGTTATCTGGGTCAAAAGTTTTCTTTGTTGTTCAAAAGAAACGATATATTGCAAGGGGTTTGTCCGTAGCTCAAGTAATTAAGAGTATTTATTTCGCATATGAGGTCCTAGATTTGATTCTCCTCTCTTAAGATATAATCCTTAAGTAAAACATCTTGAATAATATCAAATGGTTCTTCAAACAAGTACAAGAGTCACCATTATGAAGAGCAAACCGGAAGAGAAATCTTAGGTTTTCAATAGCGGGAATCATGCATTGTCTTACGTTTTCTAATTAACAAAAAAATATTGCGGCCATAACTAATAATTAGAAGTAGTAACTAGATATTAGTATAGAATATCAGAAGATATTCAGAGGAGAAGTGGGCTAGTCCTTGAAAATGCTTGTTATAGTTGGGGCTAAAAATCACCTTGTGACTAATTCCTTTGGTCGCGAACGTCAATTAATCTATCACAGGCCTCTCTGTGATTGTTTGATTTCTAGTTGTCTAATCACACTTGAAATTATGTATTTACTTATTGTATTTTTGCCCCTTCTCGATAGCTCTGTAGCTGGTTTTTTTTCGGATTTTTCTAGATTCAAACTCCCCCGTTAATAAAAAAGAAAAATACTAATTAGAAGTACCCCTCCCCAATCCCACAATATAGAATGCTTAAATTCTCCTTTCCACTCATAATTAAGTTTAATTTTCATTTAATACACGTGACTTATATAAGTAAATTGATTAAATGTGTTTTGCTTTTGTAGTGGGACGACTGAATGGAGCCATGCATAACATAACCTTTCAACAAAAGCAGCGCAACTTTAACAAGACAACTATTTGACATCGACCATATCATCATGTTATCAATAACTAGAGATTAAATATTGTGTATGTGTAGTCCTCGATATTCAGCTGCATTACAGCGTTGTTAGAGTGGATTTAACTAGAGATTAATATGCGTGCAGTGCAGGTAATTAATCAGAGTGATAATATATAATATGATCTTATGTCCAATGCAATACACCCACGCACACATAAATAATTTGGAGTTAAATTATTGAATGAAATGACATGATGAAAAAGGATGAAAAAAGATGAAAAAGAAAAAAGCATGAATTGAAATTGGAAAGAAAATTTGGCTGGCCCCAAACAAGGATTCTTCTATTCCTAAAGAGGTCGGATCATGTTTCATATGCAGTTTTATTGTTTTCTAGATTTTGTTGATGAATTATGTTCCAAAAAGTTAATTATTTGCATGCCCTCTACAACTTCCGCATGTCCACTCACCTTTTATTTAAAGCTTCGATATTGATAAGGGGCTTGTAACTCAAGTGTTTAAGAGCATTTACTCATAATCTTAGGTTCGATTTCGCTCCCTAATATCGCTTGTATAAAGTTTTTTTATAAAAAAGAAAAAAAGAAAAATGACTGCATGCGTCATTTCACATATAAGCATGAGAATCAACTTTGGAGCTGTCCCCTTGTTATATGGTTGTCCTAATAAGTTGAAATGGCATTGTCATGAAATGTGTCAGTCCCACATTTGCCTTCTAAAAATGATATTGATCTCTTTCTTCCTTACAAAATCGAAACATGCGGAGTTTACAATGGAAAATTAAAGGCTTGCTCGACCGCATATGGATAAGAAGGTTAGTCTTTCAATAGAACAAGTATCTTATCTTGTCGGACGAAATCTAAATTATAAATTACATTGTGTAGTTTGTAGTTTTTTTTTTTTTGATTAAGAAGGGGGGCAAAGCCCCAAGAAACAGACTACACACACAGGTCTAAACAGACCAATTTAGAATGAACAATTCCAAGCAAATCATCAACAAGATAAGCACTTAACCAACTAGGGGCATGCTCAAACACGCACAGCCCAAGATCCACTTGATAACTCCAATTAGCCAATTGGTCAGCTCAAACACGCACACCCTACATTGTGTAGTTTAATATACATTGATGACTTATCGTTATAAATTTATATGTTTTTGGAGTTCAGTGATTGTCTAATTAATTTAGTACGTGGATTCTGATTTTGACTGCAACACTGTCTCTCATATATTTTTAATTATTTCAAGCAAATTTAGGGGTTACGTATGCATCTATATATCTCTCCGCATGTAAGAAGACTACACATGAGGAAGAGTCCTAATTTGATATACATTATTGACTAGTCATCGTATGAAAGTTTGATATGTCGCTATAGACTATGAGTTGGGATTAGTTTGCAATCTGATATAGATATATATATTTCTCACAAATCTGCATGCAGTATGAAAGGAGATCGATGCCAAAGAAAAGAGTATTGACAGAATGACACGTAGCCCTAAAATACGAGCTGTTTGGTCTGTGGCTAGTTCATAATGGAGGAATGAACTTTGCCATCCATATAATTAATCAGCAATGAGAAAAGAAGATGTCAGATCCAAATGGTTTTGCTTAAAGTTAAGCTACCCGTCTGATCAACTTTATGAAGACTAATTACCCATCTTTTACCATTAAGTAATATGTTCTCCGTCCAAAAGTTCAAAAAGAAAAGGAATGAAAGTTACAGCATTGACATATTTCATGAGATTTTGAAGCAAAGCAACCCCATGCCACGTGAATAATTACAAACTCTCTGGAAACACAATTGCTAGGAAAAGACATCGATCTTTAATTTCCAAAGCAGAGATATGGCTGTTATACCTACCTTTTTAAAGGGAGCTTCCTCTCCATTAATATTCATATAAATCATTCACTAATAATTGTCCAAGATGACATAGCTGTACGCTTTAATTTTGGGGAAAGCTGCTTTAGAAAGATTCTGCTGGAGACTGAGAGATGATATATATATATATATATATATATATCATTCTTTCATCCAGTTCAGAAAGCTTCAAGAAATTCAATTGGATCTTCTTGTGGTTAACTAATTTTAATTAATTCACGCTTTTAGTTGGTACAGTGGGCCTTATAAACCTTTGCCTCTGCTGGCTAAAGTGTGATTATGGACATAATTAATGGAGCAATGCGAAACAAGGGGTGGGAGTCCGGTTTGTTATGCCGCCTTAAAACCGGACACTAACCCAATTTCACGTCGTGATTTCGTTTGGTTTGGTTTAAGTCTCAAACTAGTAATACAATCGAATCAAACCAAACGGAATTAAACCAAAACTAATTGTAGTTTCAGTTTAGAAATACATATTTTTAGTGTAAATTCGAATCAAACCAACCCTCTCAAGTTATACAAAAGGAAGCTGCCACCTCCAAGCATATAGGGGGGCCCGTTTCACACCGTCTCAGGTTTTACAGTGAAAGTGAGCCAAGAGCTTTTGTGAATAATCGAGATATTTCCACCTGACCTTTAAGATTAAACCAAACCAAATTTATGAAGGTCGATACTTTTTATTTATTTATACAAATGATATTCGATTTTACTCTAATTTAAACTATATAAATATAGAGATTTCGAAATCAACTGTCCCTCTAGCCGATGTATATATTGATAATTATGGAAAGCACATCCCTCTAGCCGTTGTATATTGATAATTAAGTAAAGATTTAGTGCATGACAATTGACAGGCTTCAGAGCTAGTAATAACATCGGATTTTGAGGATTACTGATCGAGCCCACGAGCTGGGTCAGACCTAACAGCCTGATGACCAATTGTAGTGATCAACATGTCTTTTTTATTTTTGATAATCACATATGTGGGCACTTAATTTGTCATTTTCCTCTTATTTTTTTTTGTTAGAATTGTTTCGACAAAGATTCTTATTTTGACAATGTAATTAATTAAAATTATCTTCTGAAACATCAAAGGAGAACACCTCAAAAACGAGATAGGTGACATCTTGTTTTGGTCTGAATAGCGCGACATTTTGCGTATAAAAGTAAGACATCCTACATTCATATAGGAAACAGATTAAGATAAATGTGAAATTCTCCAATCGATTCTGAAAGAGAGTTTGGTAATATCTTGGATGTTTCGATCATGTTTATGTTTGATGAACTCAGCACCTCAAATTTCAATGACAAACACATAAAGGAATCCAACATTCTCTCTTTAATATGTCAATTGACGACCGACCCAAGTGAAAGGGTTTTTCTTTCACGTGAATAACGTGGGAGCATGTATGGTCGTTGATTCAACAAAGTAAATAATAAGTCTGTAATTCCAATCGATAATAATAGAAAATTAACGAGGGTGAATAATATATTCCTCACCAACAAACCAAAAGCATTTTCGTAGATTATATATACAAAGTTATATTGTTTGTTTGAGCAGTG